AGAAGCGATTGTTGGAGGGTGAAAATGAAGGGGATAAGTCATCCCCGTCGTCCTCGTCGCCATCGCTGTCGAACAGTGCAGAATCGAAATCAAGCGACGAGGATGACGATATGGCTGCTGCTGTGGAGCGCCAGTTTTTCGCGTTGTAGCCCCGGTGGTCCTTGCTCTTCTTGTTATTGTTTTTGCGGTTCCCGCATTGTTCACTTCTCGGGTCGATCTTCTTTTCACTTATTACCTCATTACTGTTCCCTCTCAGCCATCCTTTTCGTATGCTTTATGTGCATTTGATGCGCTCATGTAAGCAGAATGTATCTGTAATTTCACATTTTTTTATGCAGATTTCCTGTGGAGCACTGTAGCGCTACTACATTGAGCAAAAACATATATTGCGGTGACCCCTGGTGTGTGTGAATGTGTGTGTATGTTTGTGTGTGTGTGTGTGTGTGTGTATGTATGTATGTATGTATGTGTGTGTATGTGCGTCTGCCCGAGTATTTTAACTCGGTAACCATGCAACCTCCGGAGCCAAACTTCTGCCAGCGGGTTCTTTGGCCAAGTGCCACTCCAGGACTGCGGTACCGACCCTTACGCACGTCTGGACCTCGCACACGACCACGTGGAACTTTTGTGGGTAAATGGCTAATTCGGAAATCGGGGAAACTGGAAGGCTGAAATTTTGAGGGGGTATTCCCCGCGCACTTAAATAATTTAAATTCACCTTCCAGGTATGCGTGGTTCTCAGTCACAGCCCCGTGAAGTTTTTTTGGCGGGAAAATTCACTAATTCGGGAACAGGTAAAATATCGTAGTACAGTGGAGTTTTTTTCATGCGAAGAAGTGTTTTTTTTTTTGAAAAATCCAATGTTTTTCTTTTATCATTGCCGCAGCCTTTTTTTATAGAGTTTCGATAATCCTCGCCCTGTCAAAAAACTTCACGGGGTTGTGACTGGGAACTACGCATACCTGGAAGGTGAATTAAAATCCTTTAAGTTGTAAGTGCGCGGAGTGCATCTCTTAAAAATTATTTTGATCAGTAATTCGGAAAGGGGCATTTTGACAGTGTTCACCATCGTGGTTAACATGCGAGTTACAGGGTTTTCACGTTCTTCAAAACTACTGTTTGCTTACCTCTGAACAAACCGTGAAGGAGAGAGTCATCGATAGCTTTCTAAGAGGGTCGTTGCTGCTGGCACTCGTGTTGCTGTCAAGTGCTTCCGCCTTTTTTAGAGAGCAAATTTGGGGAAAATTTTGACTTTTCACGATATGGGTAGCCTTTATCACGATTTTTAACGTAAGACTTATAGTGACCAGTGATGCTTTGCATACAGTTCGGAGGATTTATCCAATTCACCGATCTTTTTGGTATGTATTTTTGAGCTGGCGCAGCTCATTTGAGGAGAGGAAGTTGTCAAGTGCTTCCGCCTTTTTTAAAGAGCAAATTTGGGGAAAATTTTGACTTTTGACGATATGGGTAGCCCTTATCACGATTTCTAACGTAAGACTTATAGCGACCAGTGATGCTTTGCATACAGTTCTGAGGATCTGTGCATTTCACCGTCTTTTTTGATATGTATTTTTGAGCTGGCGCAGC